ACCCTGTCCTCTACAGTCCTCTCCCTCTTCATTAACCCTACTACCACTTTTTCCAGTGTTGCTGAAACTGTCTTCTCCCATTTGTAGCTGTGACCCTTGAGCAGGAACTGGACAGTTTTCTACATCCATTAGCTGTCTTTGGAGGGAGAAAGAGAGTTAATTCATGGTGCAGGATTTACGAGAACCTAAATCTAACTAACAGCACCTAATTGCCTTAAAACCAGAAGTTTTCAGGACAGGATGCACATGATTAGCAGTATCAACTAGAAAAAAAGCTTTAATAAGTTATTATTTGTTCATAAGTAGAAAGAAAAGATCTTCAGAAGAAGCTTTGTTTTTCTGCTGTAGGGAATCACTTTTTAAGGCTGCTTATAGTTTTATCCTGTGAATGATGGAATTTTTTAACAAATCTGTGGAGCTGGTAAACTTTCAAGTTTTCCCTAGTTTTGTTTTTTGTCATCACCTCCCCAGATAACCACATATTCTGAGATATATGTAAGCATGATTCATCTTTACTTTTCTTTTTAAATATATTTGGCTTTGTAATAGCAAAAAGTTGGTTTTGTGTGTAGTTCTGCCTTTGCTTGGCAGTAACAGATTTTCAAGGTTCCTATCTTTATGCCTTAAGGAGTACACAGTGTTATCATCAGGGATCTTCTCCATTGCTAGTTCTCTGTCTTTGTTTTGTTTACCGATATTTCACAGGAAACTCTTGCAGTTATCATTAAGCGCTCAGGCCAAAACAAAATTTTGCCAAAGCTTATACTCTATGTTTCTCTCTTTTAAAAGCAATGAAAGATTTGTTTGACTGAATACAGTTGACATTTCTTTTATCCCATCAATTCATTATATAATTAAAAATTCAGGTCGAAAATAAAAAGTGGCTCCAGATAAGCTTTCATTATATTAGATAGCTTTTCTCACCCCTGCCTCATATTATCTCAGATAGTGTTATTGCTTTCCCTTTAAATAGGTCTTTCTTCTTTGTGTTTTCAAAAACATTATTCGTATTTGTATTTTGGAACCATATGCCTTGCAGCAGTGCTGTGAGTGCTTGTGTTTTTATTTCATCCAGGCAAAGGAGTGAAGGTAAGAGGAAAAACAGAAGTGGAAGGAATGTTGAAAATTCAGCTAAGGCATTACCCAAGGTCCTATAGTATGATGTAGAGAATCATGCATACTCCTTGTTGCGATGGTTTTTGGAGGTATAAAGGATTTTGTGTGCTATATTGGATTTTGACACTGCACCCACCATATGAGCCATTTTTAGCATTATTATTGTTTTTTAAAGTTCACATATGCCAGAATTTACACCCTGCAATGATTAAAGCTCTGCCCAGTAAGCAAAATATTAATTTTCAGTGGTGCTGGAGTCTGAAGAATACCAATGACTCCGTCAAAAACGTGTGTCTTTGGAAATGGGACAAACAGAATAATCTTTTATGAGAACATGGGTTTTTATGTTTTCTGAGTCTGAGCTGGTTTTGGCTATTGTTGGATAATGGTTGGTTGACTCCTAAAATATGTTTTAGTTACAATCTACTCACTACTTTTCAGTGGAGTGTGCACTGTAGTGCTGTTTATCACTTTCCTGTGTTCCTAGCTGTTTGATATCCCTCTTTCACAATTACGTATTTGGGAAACTGGAATATTGTACAGCAGTGTAAGGTAGCTGGCAAAGCTGAAGAGGAAGGCAGCATCAGTGACTACCAGGTCTCTCTCCAGACCTTTATAGTGGGATTTCGAAGTATGCACTCACGCCTCGCAGCCCTTGCCATTTGTATGGTGTGCGTGGAGTTGAGTGAGACGTTCCAATCGACACATTATCAGGCGGTTTTGGCAATTAATGTAAAACTAAGAAGCAAGATACATAAGGAAGGTTACATTCACACACGTAGCCCTAATTTTTGTGAGCCATTAGTTCTTGTTCAGAATTGAGCTTGAAGATTAGTTTGGGTGGATTTTGATTTTTTTTGTTCTTTATTGGGTGTGTCTCGTCCAAAACTTATAGCTTTCAAGTTTGTGGAATCAGGCCCATGTTAAAATAAATGGGAAGTTGCAGTGGCAGCGCCCACTACAGCCAGAGTGCAACTCACTGGCTTGATGTGGGCTACGAGGTTGTTGGTGGGCAGTGCCTGTGCACACACTCTTCGTAGGTACTGCCCAAGGGATCTGTTTTCTTTTGGCCAGTGTCTGGAAGGGAAACTGAGTGAGAAGGACCGTCCCACCCACTCTAGCTTTTCCTGGCCTTTTTTTTTCACTAGACATCTGTGTATATTTCTGCATGATAAATATACACCTTAGAAATGTGTTTTCCATCCACTGATTCTAAGGAGAGTCTCTATGTCTACATTAGGTCAGAGAAATTCAAGGAACATTAAGAATTTTTTTTACAAGAGATGAGAGTTTATTTTTCAGCAGATGGCAATTCCTTTTCAGAAAGAAGCAGCATATTTTTATGCTGCAGATTTTCTTCAGGATTCAGGAGAGCGGTGCCCTGGCAAGTATCCTTCACCCAGCCCATCCTTCTCTCCAAAGTCTGGACTTCTGTGAAAAGCTACCCTGTTTTTTAACTTGTGAGCACCGTGTTTTCTTCTATCAGCTTGAAGAGGCCGGGATTGAATTTGAATTGCTTGCCTGAACTGAAGTCCAAGTCGCATGGCTGTCACTGCTGTCCTGTTACCAATTTCTCAACTCGTATTAGCCAAACTGAAAGAAGACTATGCTTTTTTTTGCAGCGTATGCATAACCTTATGTTGGTGCTAGACCAGAAATAGAAAAGACCCAAGGACACTATATCTTACCTTCATTTCCTGAGGCCAATGCCTTGTTCTGGTTGCTCAGGCATATGCTGCTATTTGCTAAGCTTTGTCTGTAACACTGCGAGCTGCTGCTTTATTTCCTGTAACAATTTTCCAGGCTTGGTTTTGCTGACTATAGAAACTATCTGCAAAGCACTGCCGCTACTAAAATTTCTACCACTATCTTTCTGTAGTGATATGAGGCTTCCATGCCTGCATTAGTTTCTGCAGTTAATTAATCTAAGTCTTTCTAATACTTACTGTGGTAAGGATAGAAAAGCAATAAACAGTGCAGATAAGGGATGAAATGGTTTAATCTCATTAATTAACAAAATGCAGAGTATTCAGATACAAATATTACTCCTCTTCTAATGACTGGGAGTTGGACGAGTCACGTAGAGCCAAGAAAATATATCTCAGCTATAAATGAAGGTACAGTTCAGTTAGTGTAGTGTTTTTTTTTCTTTCCTGGTTTTAATAGCAACTTCACATCGTAATTAGGAGGATGAAATTCCTGCCAGCCAAGTACATAGGTTGGACAGATTAAAGGGAAGAGGTATGAGAAATGATAATTGCTTTGTGCTTGTCAGACTTCTATTGAAAATCTGACAGGATAATTACAAAATACCTGCTTCGCAGAATGTCTAGGCAAATTTTTAAAGAGCTATTTAAAGTTATTCGTTTACAGTCTGTCTGAAAAGAAAAGTTTTTCCCCCTTTTTGAATTAGTTCATTACCATTTAGATATGTGGTACATGTTCAAATATAAACCTTATTCTCATGTGCACGCCTGGCTGCATTCCACTGCCCACCCCCAAAGAAAATTGCCCATAATTTTTTGCATTACCCCACATACTTCGCCCACGTACACAACCTTAACTTTCAGCAGAACATTATTTCACCTGATGGAAACTGTAACCTTGTTGCTTTCAACAGTCTGAATCATAGTCATAAATAAAGTAACTGAGAGAGAAATGTTCCAGTGGACTACACAATAAACTCTGTTTTGACTGACAGTAAAAAGTTGTTCTACTTTCAGCACTTTTTACTGTCTCATCACATGGCTTTTCTTCACCTGCTTTTGAAACTTGAAAATGACGATCACCAAATTGCTAATTTTCAAAGACTGTTCTATACATAGGTGCCAGAACCCTACTGATTTTGCCGACAACTGAAAGATGCCAAAATCTGACTTTGAACTAAAATTCACCATGTGAAGTCATTTGGATCACAGGGACACAGATACCTGCAGAAAGGCAACAGAGTTGCTCTGGGCACCTGGTAGGCAGGCTTTTTGGGGAAAGATGAAGAGACTTTGGTGAGTCGTGGACTTGCAGCAAATGAAGTAGAGCCCGCTAATACCAGTTGTTTCAAGTTCCTGCAATTCAATATGAATCATCCAGTATCATTAGTATATACAGTTGAACAGAGATGACCAACCTCGAGCTACAAGAGCTAGATTTCCCTGTATGGAGGTACTCTAAGCAATATTTCATGATCCCCTGCCTTTATTGGATCATGCAGTGCACAGAACAGCTAACCAGCACTTACAGTGGGTTTATAATTCCCAGAACTGTCAGCAATTGCACATAAATTAAATAGTCTATGTATCCACATGGTAAATCACTGTATATTCTCTGCTCACCTGTCAGGAAGAGGTAATTGCAATGGCTTTTCAAAATTCTCATGTTTAGACTCAGATGCCTTCGGACATGACCAGTGAGTAGCCTGCAGACTGGCCAGCTGCTTCTGGCAACCAGGGCAGGCTTTGAGTAAATAACCTTTCCAGGGATGCCAAGACTGTCGTCAGACCACCTCTACACCTTTCATGTGACAGGCACACCTGAATTTTTGTTATGTCAGGAAACAGGACATGGGCACCCCGGAAAGGATGACCATAGATGAACTGTCTTGCTATAGGTAGCTGTAGTCAACTAACTGGTGAATTCACATAATTTCCCAAACTGGTGCCTTGGGCTCATAGCTATAAGGTTAATTATTGTGATATTTAAAGCTTACAGTTTGTATTTGTATATAAAGATAAAAGAATAAATTGAGTGTTGGGCATATAATTAAATCTATCATATTCATTGGTACATTGAACTACATTGTTTCACAAGAAATGCACAGTACAGATTGTACAACAGAGCATTTTTTAATGGAATTCTGTTTTCTCTCTGGCTTCTTTTTCTTTGAACAGTTTATGAAGAACCAGAAGACCCCAGTAACAGATCATTTTTTTCAGAAATTATCTCTTCAGTGTCAGATGTCAAATTCAGTCACAGTGGTAGATATATGCTGACAAGAGATTACCTCACTGTCAAGGTTTGGGATCTGAACATGGAAACAAAGCCCGTAGAAACGTACCAGGTAGGTATCTCCTCTGTCTTGAAACGCAGCAATATAAAAGCATCTCACTATTCAAAACCTGAATGTTTTCTTAAACTTCTCATTGCTTGGTCTGAGAAGAAGGTAGCTAAGAGATCTGCTAATCAAGGTAGTTAAAATCCTTATAGTTGCATCCTTGTAGTTGGAAAAGGGCAATTTCAGCATTAGTAAGGAAATGTAAGGCCTGAGGTGTCAGGATGACATTCACTGTGGATTGGGCTCTTGAAAGAAATGATATGTGGAAATAACCTCTTCACTTCGGCGTCTGTTTTCATATGATTATTAAATTTAAAAGAAATGAGGATTTGGAGGATTGCTTAGTAGTCTGCCCCTATAGGGACTGCTGAGAGTTCACACCTTTGTAATTTCAAAATTTTTTAAAAAATCTTTATCTCTGCATTTCTGCCTTGTGCCTAGTTCTAGAAGCGGTCAGTGTTAAACCGTAACATCACCACTGACGCATCAGTTTGCGAATGCCAGACAGACACATCTGGTTGCCTGAATCCATTGCGATATTATCCAGACAAAATGCCAGTGGCTCCAGCCAGCACTGAGTTTGTGCTCTGACATCTGTTCTGTTTGGCAATAGAGGGCTGAGCTTACATTTTCTGACTCTGCGTTGAAGAAGGAAAATACATCTGTGACACCGAAAGTGCTTGTTATGAAAATGCAATGAGAAATAACTGTTAAGCTACCTACAGAAGAGTATGCAAAGTAGGAAAAATGTCATTCATCTGGCTTCTACCACTTACGTAGAGACAGTCCTATGACAGTGCTGGAGCAATCCCTTGTTTTCTGTGTCTATATAATGGCAGGTGGGGGACAGTAGTTCACAGTAACTAGAATTGAGATTGGTTTTAAAATAACATGTAATGGGAGTTTGATGGCGTGACTTGTCAAAGTAACCGAAATTTTACATCAAGAATATTGGAGGTATTTATTAACTAGTGTTTAGTAGACAAAGTAGGCCTCAGTATTTTCCGATGCACCCATTACATTTTGGTCGATACCCTTCAGAGTGCCTCCAGTTAGTACTGGAAAGTCTGAGGCTGCGTACCTTTAAAACTACAGAATCGGTTTTGCTCTGAAAATGGCAGTACTGATAATGCTAAATGTGTTAGAAATGTTGATATGCTGTGAAAATGAAGTGGGAGGGTAAGGGTGAGACTGTGTTTTATATAACAGAATCATATCTCAGATTTTAGGAACTTAGGCAATGTATTATTTTATGCTTATGCTAATGGAGTAGGCAACCTTGTCCCTGGAGTGGAATAACTGGTCAAGCAAACCTGTTTGTCTTGACTTTGACATCTGCTTTTATTTCATCAGGTAGGTAGCTGTGAAACAAGCTGGCCACCTTTAAATCAGTCTGACACCCAACAGTGGGGCCAATTAAAAAATTATATTTCTCCATGCTGGGATGGGAAAAATGAGTATAATGTTAAATTTTCAGTACTGATTATTGCAATCAGAAGCTTATTAAAAAAAAAAAGAGAGACCCAAACCAACAATAATCATGCAAACATAACAGTGTTCTTGCTGCCTTACTTTAATCTATGGATTGCCTTTCATTTTCAAACATTTATCGAGTGCCTTGTGAAGAATATACAGATGCATTGCTGAGCGTTGCAGCAGACTAAAGGACAATCTGGAACTCAGGGGCCTTAGGAGGCCAATAGCACAGGACTGCATAGGATTCACATGGTCCAACTGCTCTGGGCAACCTTTCATGTTTTTCATCTGCCAAGACTAGAGAATTCTGTTCTTAAGAAAAAGTGGTTTAAATTACTTTTTAAAATAATTTGTCTTAGATGTAGCTCTCTCACACATACATAAATCTCATATATAAACTCGTAAGTCTCTCAAAAAGTTTTTTGTGGTGGATCACCTGAAGGCAACAAATAAACTTAACATTTTCAATTATGTATCCACACAACTATGATGAAATGTATATCATTAAAAGATTAAAAGACATTCATTAAAAGATTGAATTTCTCATTTCATCCACTGCATGGTAGCCACTTAGATATTGTCTAGCTGAGAGACTTAGAGCTGAGTCTAGCTGAAGAGGGTCACAACAGGAGATTTCCCCACAGGGTTGTAAGAAAGAGCAAAGTCTATAACTGTAGTACTTCATTATTGGGTTACAGTTTTAGTGTCAGGAAAAAAAAAATTGAATTCCTCATGCAAGCTCTTTTCCTTAGCAATGCTGTGGCTAAAAGAATGCTATTCCATAGAGCAGCCTTGCTGAAACACCTTGTCTGCTGACAATGATTCAACATGATTTTCTCCTGTTTATGCTTGATGTCAAAGAGAAAAGGGCAGAGTATGGTGCACTGGACAGCACTAAAAGAGCAATACAGTGGAATGGTCAGTGCTTGAAAGTTGCAAGGCAGCCCTGCTTAATGGGATACTCTTCTGATGCTGCCAGGTGAATTACCCCAGCAGAACCATACCGGCAGCAACCAGAGGTGAACACATTCATAGCTGATAATAGCTTGATGCACTTTTGGCTAGATCTGTTGCATAGCAATTTGAACGAACGTGTCACCTACCAGTGCAATTCCTGATTGTGACCATTCAGTCCCAGTGAAATAGCTCCCTGTGTAGTCACGTTGCTGTGTTAGTCTGGAGCACAGAATTGCTAGACAATTGCATGGAAGTCTGACCTAAAACAGTGCAGTGAAGAAAAAGAGAAGGCTTTTTGTAATTAGTTAGGAATGAATTTGGTTGGGATTCAAGTCCTAGTCATATATGGTAAGAAAAATATGTACAGACAGGATAAATCGGATTTTACCCTCAATCAGTAGTGGCAGATGAACATGCAAGCAAGGTGAAAATTAAATGTTTCTTCCAGTTAGTTTCTCATAGGCATTCTGAGGGTCTGAATGTGGTCAAACGTGGTAAAGAGTCCACATGAAGAGCAAGCTGAACGTCCAAGGCAGTAGTGCAAATTTGCAGGCAGTCAGTCAACAAAAAGGAGCTGAGACCTTGAAGAGATCAGTAAGAAATCTGAGAGAGAAACTTCAAAATGCTTTTTGACAGAGTTGATAGAAAGGCACAGCTGCAAGCTGTGGAGTTGGACGCACTTTACAAAGGGTGTGTACATGACGATGGCCATGACAGATGGCTGCTGGAAATGGGAACAAGAGGAAGACCTAGGAATGGCAGTCAATGAGGCAAATGCGATCTGCTTCCTTCTCCTGCCTTACCCAACCTTTCTATTTCTTCCAAGTGTTGGGAGCTCACAAAGATGATAAAGGAAAGAACTCCGGTTCTGTAACAAATTACACTGCTAACACAAAAAGGCTTTAAGTAAAGAGAAAATGAAAGAATTACAGAGGGTGCAAGAAACTGCATCAGTACTAAAAGTATTCTGACCTATTACTCACTGCGAGGGTAAATGCATTTAATTGTGAAATGTTTTATCTGCATTTTATTTGCCTATTATTTGCTGTACAAGACATTATCTGTTGATGTACATCTGTTGATGTACAGCTCAGTGTTCACTCATCTATTATTGAAAATTGATCCATGACTAAAATTTATAATCCTTTATAACCTTACATGACATGCACAATACTGTAGAATTTGGCTATTGAAAACGAGTTACTTTAAAGAAAATATAGGTGAAAGGTTGTCGTCCCTCATGTGGTGTTGGTAGAAGTTACCTTGCTAGAAGAAATGTTTACACCCGCAGGCCTGATGAGGATGCTGAGCATCCATGATCAGGAACAGTCTCCCTGGACTTGCAAGAACCAGTACCTCCGTATGCCAGAGGTAAATTATGCCCCTTGGCTATTGGATTGGTATGCATGCTCTGAGAGGCCATCCACATGTCTATGTTTTACAGTTTCTACAACAGCTAGAAGAAAACATCAGGAGTGAAAATGCGTTAGTAAATTCATCTGGGCAGGGATTTTCTAGCTCGTTATTTCCTTGTGGAATGAAACCAATCATCCAGCAAGAAAACTAATCAAATTCAGCAAAGGGTTGAAGCAGTTTGCATGAGATCTGCCTCTTTATAATAACCTTTGTTCAGCAGAGATGTGTGGCCCAGAGGAGAGGTCTTCTGCTGGTTAGTCCCACTTTTCAAGTATGTAAGTGAGAATTTACAATGTTGGTTTTAAGTCTCAGCCAACTAGGAGATATCCTTGGGCTAAATTAGTGCTCCAATTTGCAGCCTGTGCAACTGGAACCTTCTACTGTATTTGACTTCTGAAATACCTTCCCAAATATGTGTAATACCATACACTACAGTTCTTTTAATGGAGCCGAGTTCTTTCTGCCACAACAAGTGAAAGTCCACTTATTTTGGACTATGACATTTTTGTTACTATTTAAATTAGGTTTCTTGCACATTAATTAGCACATCTAGGGTGTCAGCTGGTGAAATGTCGTTGGGAATTAGGTTTGCACTGAGAAAATCACCCAAGCAGGAAACAAATATGTTGAAGAGGGGTGGTCTGCAGCCTGCTGAGGGAGGTATGCTTCATGCCTTCCTGCAGCAATAATTCTGTAGCACCTAGTTAATTGGGCTGTGGAAAAGTACAGATAGCTTCTTTAGAGTTTAAACACAGTATCTTCCGCAAAGCTACCAATCTGTGCAGCACATTTTCAAAGTGAACGTGGGAGATAAAGTGGAGAGTGGGGGGCTGGTTGTGGAGTTTTATATTTTGTTTTATTTCAAGAATAACAACAGTTATTTTCTTTGAAACAGGTCCATGATTACCTTAGGAGCAAGTTGTGTTCCCTCTATGAAAATGACTGCATCTTTGACAAGTTTGAATGTGCATGGAACGGATCAGACAGGTAATCCATCCTTATGTCCATCACTGTCTTCGTTTAGCAAAAGAGCTCCCATATGATGGGGAACAATCAGAAAGTAAAATGTTACATGTGGTTATTTTCCACATCAATTTACATTGTCACATACCAGTGTTCAGGTTGATAAAAGGTGTTTGGATGTTGATGCATTTGTGTCTCTGACCTCCTTAGACACGATGTATACCTTATTAATCTTGACTCATGCCTTAGGGGAAGAAGCCCTTCAAATTCTGTCTGTTTTCACCGAAATCATAAGTAGGCTGCGAAAGTTGGAAAGAATGCTACCAACTTGCACAGCCCCACCAACACAGTAAGGAAGCTTGTGTGGTTCTGTATTTACATGAGCTGCCTCAGAAATCTAGTTCATTTACTGGAAACAGAGCAAGGAAAGGCAGTCACAGGCACCCACTGATTGTCTACAAACCGCTGCCACCCTCCCACTGACATAAACGACAGTTTCTTCTGATACGTACCCTCGTCAGAGCAGTTCCTTTCCCTGTGCGCTGAAGGAGAAGTCCTGGTTTTTATCTTGGACGTAATATCTTGTTGAATATTTTCATGAGAAATAATGGCACAGGAAGTCAGAGAGTGCGAGCGAGGATGCAATGTGCTAATGCCATAATGTTAGCAAGTGGTGGCAGTACTTTGGGGAGTAGGAATATTGTGCAGGAAGAACTGAGCAGCTGAGAGGACTAGGATGATAAAAATGGATGAAATCCAGGAGTATAATGTCAGGTGAGGATTTTAGTTAAAAGAAAACATAAACCTTCATCTTATCAATTGGAAACAGCTCACAGGGATGTTCATGTGTGAGGTGACTGTGGAAGGGATTAGCAGTCTATGAAATGCATGTGAAAGAGAGCACAGGAGCCAATTTTGAATGGCACAGAGTAACTCATGGCTCAGCAAAGCTGGGAGCCAAGAGGCAAAGTTTGGCACTTGCTGAGAGCCTGGAACTGTGCCTTCAACTCACTTAGCTGCTCATTTGGAAAAGAGAAAAACGGTCCATCTCATTGTATTTGAAGCAGGCCTGCCCCCCTGGACTGGGCAGGGACTATGAAACAGAGTGTGGGGCAGCTGTGAAAAGGCAAATATGATCCTTGAGTGGGCAAGACTGGGGTATCCAGCAGAGAGAGGAGTAGTGGTGACATTATGTTAGGGTCTTACTCAAAGACCTTTGGACTGCAGTTACACATTTCTTGTCCCTCCTCTCCAAGGTGTATGAACTAATCGGGCAAACAGCTGCTCTAAAGAGAGGAGAGGGCAGGAGTTTTGGTTTTGATCAGCTTAGCAGAAGAGAAGCCAAGATTATACTTGCTGCTAGTAAGTATATCAAGGAGGTATACATAGAGAGGATAAGGATCTAGCTAATCTAAATGTGAATGATAATGACACAAGAGCAAATAGGTATTGAGTGACAACAAGTAATTGTAGTGTGGAAATGATAGGTAGTTCGAACAGTGACAGTGTGGAGCAGTCTTCCCATCCTGAGTGGCAGAGATTTAAGAAGTCCAACTGTTTTGATGATGGTGCTCAGGAAATTTGTGAAAGCAGTTAGATGAGACATTGGTTAAAATGGCAAGCATCTGAACTTGGAAGTGCAGAACAAGGTCTATTCCAGTGCTGTGTTCCACAAATGCAGATGAAGTGCAATGCCGTACAACGTGCAAGGGGCATCTTCTCTTTGGTCTGCTTCCCTTTGCTCAATTCTTCTACCTGCCCCGTGGAGAGATTCTGTCTTTACTAAGAAATAAAACTTTTACCTTGTATCATTTATGCAAATGAAACTGTATACTTCTGTTATCTGTGTTGTCTGCATGCCAGGATCATGTGTTTTCTGACAAGGATTAATTCAGCATCGAGTATTCCTGAGTGATACAAGCTGCTGGCCATTTAACGGCATAGGTGGACAACACTGGGCAAAATTCTTCCCAGATTTCTATGACTGCAACTTAGGTACTAGCTGTTGTGGAAACGGCTTTGATATGATCAGAAAGTGGGAATGACACACAGAAGTTTCAGGGGAAGGTCCACGTTTCGGGGCTTTTCTCTGAACCTCCCAAACCCATGCGTGAATGGATGTTTTAGCAGAGGGTTCCCTCAGTAGACTGGTTACTGCTTGAGTTTGATCCTACTGGAAATACCAAAATAAAAGCCTTTCTTGGGAATGTGGACAATACTGATGCCTGCCTAAATCTGGCACAGAAGAACCGCGCAATCAAATCATTCAGGTATTTTGAAACTTTGACAAAGATTCAGAGCTTTTCAGATCCTTTCAAACTGTTTTGCTTATCTTTGATGGGAATTGCCAGTGTGCTGTACAGAATGGACAGCCACGTGGTCTCAGGCTCAGAGTCTTTCTTCTGCATTCAAATGAAGTGCTGCTGTCCTCATTAGTGCAGTAAGACCACTCTCTGGATAGTTGCCTGGTAATAATAGAAATATTATTCAATATCAGGATTTAAAGTGAGTGTAATATTTTCGTTCCTACTTGACAGATCAGAAAAATCAATGCAGTGAGTAATTGTTAAGTGGGAACATCAGACTGTGAGGGCTTCATGTATTGTACTGCCCAGACACTGGGGCGTTGTTCGTCGTGCACGGTTACCAAATCTGTCAAAAAACACAATACACTGCTCTTGATTGTAAGAAACTGTTGAATAGAGAAGCTGGCAACATTTCACAAAAGATAAGGGTTCGCTTTAATTTAGTTGTTTCTTTTTAAGAGTCAAATGTATCAGCACTGATGTTCATCTTTTGATGAAAATTCACTCTTCTGAGCTTCTTGCTTCTGTATATGACAAGTATTGTGTTGTTTTGCTACAAAGATTTTTTTTTTTTGATGGATCATAATTTAAATTATATTTGGATACCAATACCTCTTGAAGAACAGTTCATTTGAATATTAAGGTCACTTAATTTGATCCTTTTGCTGTGTATTTTTTTTTAAAAAGGACTGCTGCTAAGGGTAAGCAATGTCTATTAAAAATGGTAATCTTAAAAGATGCTGCAGTACTGTATTTATATTATTAATACGTATACAGAACAGTAATAACTGCAGTTCTAAACATGTTATTTTTCTCTTTTGCAGACTTTAAAGCTACATTGACAGTTTAAAGTGACAGGATTGTTCGGTTAAAAATGAAAGCATGTTTATTATTTAGGTGAAAATAGTTTTCATTAATTTTTGTCATTACTAAGGAGTTAATCTAGGCTGTGATAGAACCTGATGGTGAGACTGTTTACAAAAAAAAATCAATGTACGTGAGCTCTGATTAGAACGTGATTGATGCTCAGTTACTCCAATGAACAGGAACTAATATGATCAGACAGACCCGATCTCATTTGCTGAAGGGCACATTAATCACTATGTACTTTGGCAACAGCAGTGGTCAGGGGAGGGAGTCAAGCAGGAGTCTTACAGTAATTCAACCAGATGAGCACATATTATCTGTAGTTGAGTATATTACACTAAAATCATGCCATCTTTATTGTATATACATCATTACATGACTATGTGGACTATGCGAGCCCTATTTATATGCCGGTTTAATTTAGTTCTTCCATTTGCTTCCAAAGTCAGATCTTTTAATAATGACCCACAGGACACTGTTTTCTTCTTGCTGTCAACCATACTCATTTTGTTATTTCAGTTTTACCTCAAAAATCAGCACCTATGGAGCTGTTTGTAAGTTACAGGAGAAGCCAGTAAAAGAAAAAATAGTGTAGTAATTCTGCATGGTAGGAAATGAATACCTTAATTACTATTCTTTTTGTTTAAGTTCTCAAATGAATGGGTGTATGGGAACCCTTCCAGGGAGAATTCTGAATACCGTCATGAGAAGTGATACGCTGTAAGCAGATAAGTGAAGTCACATACAACTGTTCAGTCAGTCCTTTCCTGAAAAAATCATCCCACTGAATATCTGTCAGCCTTCACTCTAATCAGGCGGAATTGGCAGGTCCCAGTGGATAAGATGTTAACAGTCTATTCTTGTCTGGCTGCACACTCCATGCTGGAGAGCTTGAAGACATCATTTTGTTCTTAAGGCCCAGCATGTCAAATATTAGCTTGGAAGGACTTGGAGATCCCCTGATCTTATTCTCAGTCTTATCCCAGCCAGGTGTACCGGAGTGCCACAGCCCTGAATCTGGTGTCTCAGGCTTTCCTATTGGCACAGTCCCCAGCAGGTTTAAAGATGTTCCTTCTCTGAGATGGGGAGTCAGTTGCTTCACACAGTGCAGAATAAAGGAAAATTCCTCAGTATGCCAGAAGGCACCCACTGTTTGCAACAGTTCTTCCTCCTTTCCATTTTTCATAACAAATCTCATTTTTCATTCCCTTAAAAATGTTTTTGAAGAGTTTTCCTGGAACCAATCCTTTCTTCTCATAAGGTCAGCTTGTCACAAAACCAGATCTGGTGGCCTTTGCTTGTTGGTCCCAGGAGACTGCAGATGTGCTGTTCTGCACTGGTGCATATACTAGTGAAATCTTGAAAATTTAGGGGCTCAAAATATAATTAGGGAGACAGTTTCAGGTCAAAGAAATGGTGCTTTTTCATGCTGGGTGCCTTGAGGGACTCCTTTGTGGAGATTTACATGTCTGGAGCCAAGCTCTGATGGAAGCTGCTCTGAGTCGCCTTCCCTCACACTTGCTTGGATTTGCTGTTGAGCCCCTCTTGCCGCAGGGAATGAAGTTCTGCTGCCGCATTAGCAGTGAGGGGCAGGTTAACAGGGCTAGTTTAGTTTTTCTATTGTCCTTAAGCCTGGCATGCACTGGTCCTTGAAGCCTGCCCAGCCTTAGTCCTGTCACACCATCCCATGGTTTCCATGAGCTCTTGAGCAACAGAGGAGGGGAAAACTGCCACAAGCTCGATTTTTCCAGGCAATAGAGATCTGCAGGTGAAGAAAAATTTCTGTGCATCTAGGAAGACTAATCAGGGCCAGAGTTAGCCCAAAAATTATTATAACAGAGTCTTAAAAAA